GTGATGTTGATTTCTATGGCTGTGTCTTGGCTAACAGCATACTTTATTTTAATCATTATCTTTTCTGTTCTGTATTTTCAGCACTCTTTCCTTTAAATTATGATTTAAAAAAACACATGACAAAAAATTTAACATCTTAAGTATTTTTAAGTGTACAGCTAAATACTGTCAAGTATATTCACCTTATTTTACAACCATCACCACCATCCATCTCTGTAATTTTTTTATCTTCCCCAATTGAAACTCTATACCCATTAAATATCAGCTCCCCATTTACTCTTTCCCCAGACCCTGGTAACTAGTGTTTTACTTTCTCTTTCTCTGAGTTTGACTATTCTAGGTACCTCAGATAAGTAGAATCATACAGTATTAGTCCTTTTGTGACTGGCTTATTTCACATAGCACAACATCTTCAAGGTCCATCTGTGATGTGGCATGTATCAGCCACTGTGGAATATACTATAAACCAAATGTACCTCACAGGGCCTGTTTTCTAAAGCCTTGCAGTTTCAAATATTGACCTTGCAAGGACAGAAAATTCTCCCCAGGCTAGTGAGTCTTTGGTGCAAGACAAGAATTGTGGCACAGCAGGTTGCTGGCTCAAAGACAGACTAGTTACTGATTGTTATGTAAAGATACTGGGAAATTGCTATAGGAAGGAATGTTTGCTAAGATCAAGTTTTTGTTGAGAGCCTTACTGGAATGTCATCTGGCTTGTTTCACTGAAAGTTACCAGCCTATATTGTTAAACTATAACCCCACCTATGTCTCCTCCTGTAACTTCCTGGTCTGGAAAATAAATGCAGTAAGGGAACCCCAATTCGGGGTTAACTTCCTAAGGAAGGAATCCCTCTAACTTGAGAGTTCTGGTGGGAGATTAACCACTTCGGGGCTTGTCAGTGCTCAGTAGAGATGGGCTTTGAGTAATCCTTTGCATCTCCATCACCCAGAGGAAGTGGGGTGACAAATCCGTGGGGGGGCAAAGCGACACAAACCAACAAGTCACAATGTCCTTCATTTTTAACACTAGAAATATTCCATTAAACATATACACATAAGTGGAAGTGCTGTATTACTTGGTAGTTATGAGACATGAGGTGCTCAGTTTCTATGGGTTCAGGTTTGATGACACACAGCTGGGTTTCAAGCCACTCGTCAAGGACTCAGGCCCCTTCTCCATGCCCTCTCCTAGAAGATTGTTACTCCTGCTTATTGGACCTATTTTTAGCACCAACATGGAGAAATTTGGACCTGAAAGGGCAGACTTATGCTAATTCAGTGGCTGGACATGCTCAGTAGAAAGGGGTTATATAACCGTAGTAGGTGAGCATGCTCAGTAAAGTGGAATCTATCCTTTAAATGACCTTCCACTAGAGATGCTAAAGAGCACAGAATATTCTTGAACATGTTCGGTGCATGTGATAGAATTCAACCAATGAACTTGACCTAGAAGGAGACTAATTGAGTGGTACAAGAAAATGTTACCTATCTGGGAACCGCCCCTTAGTGAATATTCCTTAGATAGCATGAAAATGGACTAGATGGCAAAACTATGCAAGTGGAGTCCTGGTAGAAGGCAGGGTTGCTGCTCACTTTCCTAGAGCCAGCCTGCACTTAGCCTGAGGTGTGTATTTTTTCCTTTTTGTATCATACTTGCTTTTTGTAGGCCGATATTCACTCTACAGACAACCTGCATTTTGTCTGTGAATCTGTATTTCTTACTTTCATATTAAACTTGATGTGGGCCCTGTTCAGTCCCTGGAGCTATATTCCGACTCTCTCTGTGAAATCCGTTTCTCTTATTTGTTACATTAAATTTGTTCTCACTTTCTACTGTGACTCTGCTCATGAATTCTTTCTTGTGGTGGAATCAAGAATGTGGTAAGAGGACAGGGCAGGTTCAGGCCAGCCATCAGGCCTCCTGAGACCCTCTCCATAAGTATCAATTCTAAGTTTAATTTTTTGAGGAACCACCATATATTTGGGTAATTTTCTACACCAAGTTTATTTTTTGACAGTGTAAAAAGCAATGTGATATTATATTCTTATCATTTTTATTCGATGCTGAATCCCAAGTCTTTCCACATTGACTGGCATACTTTATAATCCTACAAATATTGGAAGAACAGGTGATTAAATAAATGATGCAATGTTTTGGAGGAAGCTTAGAGTCCAGAGACCATACTTGGAGCATTTGTCTTTCTTGTCTAGCAGGCAAAGTAGAACTGTGAGACTCGGGTATCACTAAAAATAAACACAAAGGGGCTGAATGTTGGGAAGCTTGAAGATACCAGGGTAGAGATGTTTATCAGCCACGGGACTGGATTTTGAATCTGGGTTATCCAAAATGATAAAATGCCAGATAGAGCATGAAAGGAGACAAACATGCTCACCAGGATCAGGATAATGCATGTGGCTCTAGTTTCATAAT